TGCTCTAGGACAATGTACAAACCTAATTAGTTTGGGGTAAAAATCTGTTCATATTAATTCCCTAATAAGCATAATAATTCATAATTTTTTGGTTCTAATCACATTTCAATTAAACTTGGAGACATAGATTTTCTGTTACATTGCGCAGACCTCATTAGTTTTACACTCAAATCTGGTCATATTAATTTTCTGATTTGCATAATTAGTTTTCAGCTAAGTAATTTCGAATTATATTTAATGTGTCTCCAATACTCTCGGCACATGGGAGTTCTTTCTAAGCTTTCTTTGATTTATTAATTTTGTTACATTTTTTGTTTAAAAAAGTCATGTTTAAAGTGGATAACTCAGAATATATTGCATGAAGACATTAAAAATATACATTTTGTTTGAGTATTAATGTTACCAGTACTTGGTGTAGTCACAATCGCAGATGATCACCGTCATCACAGCCTTTCAGTTAACAAGCAGTTTAGTTTCGGTCAAGATTTGACCTGAAAAAAATCATTCCCCCACGACACTACAGATGTTGGGCAAGATTATTACTTAGTCGATAAATATCCATCGGTCAGCACATCGATTACGAATTTCCGTGATTGAAAGCTTAGTACAGGGCTTTTTCGTCGCTGGTCCACAGGGTTGCATCGACCATGTGCCTGCCATTATTCTATTACGTGTCGTCATTTAAGTGAACCGCCCTATGGTGTGTAAATTGATATTTTTGATTGGTCGGGCGATTGACCTCGTGTCACATTTTCATTAAACCGGATTCAGTAAAAAACACAGCGTTAAGTGGTCATGTACGTTCTATAAATCTAACCTTGCACACATAATCTTGTACTGATGTGTTTTTTGTCCAAGAAAGACGTTCCCTTTCATTTAACCCCCAGTTAACTCTTCGCGTCCTTGGTATTTGTGAGAGTTAAAAGATTTTTCAAACAAATGACAAGTAACTATATTGATTTGTGTCAAGCTGGGTGACCCGAATTGAAATATCAGTGCATGAACTCTGGATGTCATTGCCCAGTGCCGCACGTAATTCAAACGCGTGGCTATTAGAGTTCAGTCGAAATGTACGTGAATAATGCGATCGAAGTCCGCTGCCCAGAGTTTATTATATTATAGTAAAATTTAATTTGACGTATAGTATGTTTATGTTTGCGTAATTATTATGAATGCAACGCATTATCAAGTCAGTGATATTGAAATATTCACAGACTCAATACCCCGGGTCAGTGCCCTAACAATAGTTAAAAAAAAAATAATTATCATGAAAGCAATACATAACGAAGTACAGAGCCAGTACAATATTGTAAACAAATTTGCGTAATTAGAAAAGCAGTGCACTAAGTAAACGACGTTAAAGTTGATATATTCAAGCCAGTACAGAGTTGCATACAAGCACCGTCCCGTGTTGAGGGACGGTGATACAAGTTGCGTAATTACAGTACCTTAGGATATAATAACAATTTTACTAGTTTGACACGCGGGGCACGAAAGAAAAAAAGGTTGCTATTAAAGGTAACGCGCCAGTTCAGCGCATGACTTGGGGTCAAACTTCGGTCAACACACACTTGATGTCAGCATCGCCGCGCAACAAGTTTCGCAAAAAAGTACTTGAAGTTCAATTGCGTCCCAAAATGATGTCGCTGATCACTCAGTTGTCGCAGCGTGTGTTGTGTCATGTCCATGATGCACCTCATTTCGACTTTGGCTTGCTTTTCCTTCTTAGTGATGCGACCTCTCACCAATGTATTAAAACACTTTGAATTTATACTTTGCATGATTATATTTGGTCAACGCGAAACATTATTTTTTCTAAACATTTTCTGAGACCATTCTTATCAACGCAGGGTTATTTTTCCCGACAAGATGGGCTTCATAATATCTGCCATAACATCGCCCGGGCGATACCTAGAAAAATAAAAAAAGGCAGTGCAGCCAGACGGCTACTTTGTAGCCACGTGTTCATTGTTTTTTTGTTTACAGAGTGACCTTTGCCATTTCACTGTTTCATTTCAAGTGTAACATGGTGCGTGGTCCTTGACGCAGTGCGTGTTCTCTGCCCGACTATACGCCATGAATGTCGCTAGCCACGAGTCTCAGAGGCACTAATAAAACGTCCTGTAATCGTGTTCATTGGAAAACAAAACAAATCACTAATAAATTTATGAAAACAGCTCCTTTTTGAATCGATCAAAAAGTACTCTTTTAATTCGCGCACCAAAAACCAATAATTTCCGTTTTTACGCTATTAATTCGTGCACTATAATTATTAAAAAATAATTATTTTTACTATCGCGAATTAATCGAGTTTTTACGGTAGTTCAATTATTCCAGTAGCGTTAAAAGTCTAAAAATGGTGATCATTATGAAAAGTAGTTGGTGAATTCTGGAGCTTTTGTGAATGGATTACCTATTTGTTTCAACTTTGAATCTGTGTATGCGTCCTACCTGTATCACAAACATGCCTGGCCTTATCACATTTCAACTTCACACATACAACAGACATATGCACTTTTTGTTTCAAGATGACTGATTGGCAGCCATTTTTGTGCTTAAAATTCATCAAAATTTCTGCCATTCAGAAATCAAATAGCAAGGAAACACTAGCTTGATTTGTTTCTGCCTGAATTAACATAATTCTGATGTGTATTCTACAACAGTTAAAATCTTGCATGAATAAAAATATACAATTTATTATCACAACATTTTTTTAAATATCTGCAATGTACAAAATATGTATATCTTTGTCTGTAGGCATTAGCTGGGAATCTAGATGAGCCCGATTCAGCTTTAAGAAACAGAATGGACAAGTTATACTCAATATTTACATTTTACCATGGCTCCATCTCTCAAGTATTACAGGTAAATAAAACACCATTCTGTCCATGTGTAACTTGTCGCTGTTACTGAAAACATTGTGGTATGAAAATAGGTCATGATGTAGAGTAGAAGAATGTACATTTCTTGAAGAAATGAAATATTAAGTTGTACTTTGAGATGGTATCTCGTAAATCGCCTTAATCTTCCTGAGAGACAAAATCGCAAAATTTTGGACCAGTGAAAATTTCTCTGGTGTTCTACGACACGCAGTATCAGCGACATTCGCAAAATTGTGTTATACCATAAAATTCTAAAATCAGGAAAATTTGTGGCATTGAAAATTTAAGTGGTTTACAGTATTATATGACCTGAAAATATTTTTAAAAAAATTATAAAACATTTACTTTATTAACTTGCAAGCTTCTTGGGTACAGTA